AGACTGAGACCCCTTGGAAATATTTGATTTAGCGCACGTGTGTGAATGCCCCATGATAGCGATTTATCCTGTATGCGAAACCGACTTGCCAGTTCGCTTTTTTCCTAACTTCTGAGTTGGATTTACGTAACTTAAGTTAACTGTAACAGCTGCGGTCAATTACTGATGCTACCACGAGGTTGATAGTATGCAAACAGAGTAGTGATTGCGTGCTCCAGTTCACGTGACACGTTCGGAGGGTATGTTCTGCTTGTCGATCGCTGAGCTTTTTTTGAGTAAGTCCCGCTGTTTGCTTGATAATAACAGCTACACGATTTGGGACCGATCACGTTCTACTCTCACAGCCATTCTTTATGTCGATCGTTTTAATTTGTCTATGTAAGCAGTACAGTTTGCCTCGAGGGGCAAGTTGATTGTCCCCTTACGTGCGGTCAATCAAATTGTGCGCTTCCGGTTTAATCGGAATCTCTCTGTGAAATCTCGTCCTACATCGTCGAGTCTACATTCATTCGATCCAGTTCTGTGAGCTCTACCTTGTGATATCTTTCTCTTGGAAGTAAATCGCTCATATGATTCCATTGAGCCGTTTTTCTGTTTTCATCGATGCTTTAGGATTTACCCACGCGTGCAAAATTATGCAATTTTATTCGCTGTGTCAACACTGTGATATCGCTCGATAGGAAGTTCAACCTTTCCAACGAGCCCTGATTGGGCTATCTAAGTTCAATTTCAATATATTTGTGCGGTTCAGTGCAATCATTGCTGCCACCCACAGTCGCACTTGTGTCTGTTCCACTGCGGCCAGCCTATGAGTTTCATACGCCTTCGGCGACAGTCTAATTCACCTCACACCGGAGAACCCAGGTTACTTCGAGTGACACTATGTAGCGAATCAGAGGTAGAAAACGTTCTTCTGTTCAGCTTTCTCCTTCGAGGAAGTTCAAGTAAAATAAGGATTCTACCAGACAGACCGTGGAGCGAGTGCGTGCACCATCGGAATAACCCAGAGAAAGATCATGTTTATTATGGAACGTGAAATCATGTTCGATGAAACACTAACCTATAAACATAAACGGTCTCGACACTGATCGTCATGGTTACTTGTGGAAAACCATCTGTATCCCTTTTGAATTCAGTGCAGTTCAGTTTAAACAACCATTAAGAATGCATTTCCGTGCGCCGCTTGTGGTTGCTGTCTTTTGGCTGCCCATTTAGGTGAACAATAGAAGGAAAATAGGAAGGTTGAAAGTAAGATGGAAGAGAAAATTGAAAAGTTCAGTTTACTAGTGAAGCAGAGAAATTGACAAAATGCACAAACGCCACTGTTTACGACACCCAGCCATATCACTCAATGTCTCTAACCATCGGTTACAACCATCCCGAGGCCCCCAGCCAGGGAGCCTAACAGGACCTATGTGACCCAGACTCCTGGTTAGGGTTTTCATACCCTCGTGCCAGGTCTTAGCTTGGCCACCCTTGGCTTTATTCCAACCAGTACCTGCCTCGGCAAACATCGCTCGCCGTGGCAACTCTTTTGTGTCATGCGTAACACATGTCCCAACCGTCTTAGACACCCTTTTGAATTGCGCCATCTACGGCATATTGCTCTCAAGTTCTCAGCCAAAACTCGTTGAACGTAGCACGTGATTGCATGTAATTCTCCAATTTTGGCTTATAAACTTCTTAGTGCCGAAACCTGGAGATATATTTGCTTTTACCGTTCGCTGGATCATGCACCCACTTATCATTGCTTTGTTTGAAAAATATCAAGGTTTTACGCCGTATTGAAATACGGCGTAAAACCTTGATATTTTTCCCTGGATAGAACAAGTTCACCGGTCTGTTGTTGCCATCTGTTCAGTCGTTTATCACATCTGTCACGTTATCAGTTGGTCGTTAGCGGCCTTTGTGAACTGAGCTGAAGTGTGAAAATAGATTTTTGGTGCCGAACCTAGGCGAAATGCAGCTCTTTCATTCGAATTACATTCAGGATGTACTAGTCAAAGGGTGACTCTTGGCCATTATGCACGTGATCTAGACCAGTTCTATTGCTTGCGTTTCGTTAGCCTTTTCGGGCAGTAATTGTGCCACGTAAACATTTGCATTGCCTGGTGACGAGGAGCTTACAGTTCCAACACATTTGGGCCTCAAAATACAAATTAAGAAACGTTAATCTGTCACACAAACCACTCATATAGTCATAGGAATTTAGATTGACCTTTTACTTGTATTAGTTGGAGTTTGTTAGTTTTTCATATGTTTATGAGACTGTAAAGTTTTGTAATGCAGATGACAAGCTTGTTCGCCAAGTTTGGTTATCTGTTTTCACAAGTTTCACCTCAAGCCGAAAGGACGTCTTCACAGCTTGTGGTATGCTGACATTATACCTCTATTCACTCAATTATACAGGCTTTTCTTTGAGCAAGTACAAGGTACCAGTCTGAACAGGCTTGGTATCGATCATTGGATTTGCTTGCTCTGATTCCCCTGTTGACTCCCATGGTAAAAAATCACTGCTGATCGTGATTGAACATTGTGCAGTGCGGGCTTGGATAACAAGCGCTAAGAAAAGAAATCCGATATCCCGCTAGTGGCAAAACAAAAACGGAACGGCAAAGGTACTTATGCTACGTAGTTAGGAAGCTGTTAGCGGGAGAGGAAGAAAAAATGTTAGTTTTCAGTGCAATCGACGGTAATTGGAGTTTACGGGACGGTTGTGGCCCGGCGGTAACGTCACCGAATTATCACCCCTGGGATGTGTTCGAATCCCACCACCACCGCTGCCTGACTTCCCCATTGTGTTTTGAATAGCAGCCCTTTGATTGGCCGCTTCCTCCTTCCTGAAAATGGTATCTTTGTATACTCAACGAAAGGAAGTAAAATGAAAAGACGAAAAAGAGACCAACAAGTGTATTCCGGGGTGAAAATGGGGTGCGCCACAGTTACCAGCGCGGAATCAGTTGCGTCACAAAGGGATTTTGAATGCACAGCTCCGACTTCAACCGAATAATGAATAGGGCTTCGGTTAATCTCAAATTTCAAATTTTTATTATGGGATATAACTTACAAAGACTTCGCTTTTACAAATCCCATAGGGTGTTTACACATTGGTTCGGATGAAGAATCACAATATCACAGTTAGTCCATGAAAGTAAAGTAGTAAAGTAATGT